TTTAAACCTGCTCCTCTCGTTCAAAAGCCAATTTCTTTGATATTAGATAAAATTCGGCAAAGGAAATTGGAGATTTTAAAGAAGTAGGTGGATTTGCATAAAGATTTTGCTTAGCACGCATTTTTAACCTTAGAAAGCATACTCATGTTCATCTGCTTTGTAGATCTAGTGCTTCTTCTGAAGATGATGACGATACCCTGATGGACGAGGGGATAGCTGATTATGTAGAAAAGGATGAACCGGAAGAAATGCCAGCTACTTGCCCTACACCCGCGAAGAGTGATTCTGGGACGTTAAATGTTGAATCAGGCGTTGCTAAAGATAATCTTTGTTCAGGAAGCATTCTTTCTCCCACAGTGAGTCAATTTATGCAGTTTATTGTGGGTTAATGTTTCATTTTGATTATGAAATGCCATTAGGCATTTTCTTCTGCTCAACTAGCGGAGATGTAATGTGCTAATTTTGGTCATGTTTTTGGGAGTGTGGCATTTATATGTGCTAAACTAAGCTTTTTTTTCCCCATAACTTATTATTAGTTTTTTTGTTTTTTTTAAGTGTATGTATTTTGAAACATTTCTAAATCACATCTCTATTGAATTTCAGGCCATGAGTTCGGAGTCTGAACATGCATTTCGAGCTCCTATTGGTGATACACAGGTTTTCCAATAGTCTGTTTGCTGAGGTCCTTGCCACTAGCTTTCGATTTTGTAGACTAATTGCTTGTTTATATGCAATTTTCAGGAACTCTTCTCTGATTCTGAAAGAAGTGAGACTAAGGAAGATGCTGTAAACGAGAAGTCAAACAATCCTTCGGAAGAAGTTTTTGCCCCATCATTGCTATCAATGAACTTGAAACTTGATTCTGCTTATCCCGATGATGATGTGTGAGTTTTTGATTTTTTTTTTCTTGCTTTATCAAAAGATTTGCTAACGCAGACAATTCATCACATGGAATGCTTAATACTCCATTGCCTATTATTGCCACCTATGACTATGTTGCCAATACTACACTACTATGAAGCTAGTGCTCTTATTTAATCTTTTCCTAACAGTGGTTCTATTAAAACCTTGAAAACACAGAAATTAGTCAAATAACAATACGGTGTGGCCTTGTGTCTGCAAACTCTTGTTATGACGTAAAAAATACTAATTGATATGTAACATTGATCTGTGGATCTTTTTCTTTGGCAAAAAACGACTTCTAATTGTTCCAAGTTAAGGAACTGATTAGTGGTCACTTTTGCCGCACTTTGTTCTAATTTACAAAATTTGACGACTTCTTTTATCCAGCTCTTCTGATGAGGAGGACAATGACAAGGAGAACGTAGATCCACGTGTACATGGATCAGTTCACTTGACTTTACTGCCAAATGGTGACCCTGTTAGGGCGTTTGTTGATGAAGAAGCAGAAGAGGAGGATGACAGTGATCATGATCTACAGCGCTTCCAAGATACTGAAGGTGAAGAAGACAATGATGATGATATTGAGGAACTTAATGACATGATTGCAACTCAATATGATGAAAAGCCAAATGATAAAGAAAAACGTGACCAACTCCACCAACAGTGGCTTCAACAACAAGATACAGCTGGAGTGGATAATGTACTCAAGAAACTAAATTGTGGTTCAAAATTGAAAGAAACACCATCAGTTGAAGAGGAAGATGAGGAAGACAGCGAAAATGAAAGAGATGATGACGATCAAGATGATGAAGCTGAAGAATACGCTGCTCCAGCAGAATCCTTGAAGGCCACTCTGAAAAAGATGAAGCAGATGATCCCACAGATGTTTTCAGATAAAGATGATAAATATGTATCATCTGACGATGAAGAGACTGAGAAGCTAGCTAGACATTGCCTCTACTATAAAACTGTGAGTTCTAACCTCTAAGCAAACCATAATGAATGCTTACTGCAGTTATCATGTCTTTTATAATTGTGCTGAAGTTTTCTATCGTTGGTTTAACTTGAATTCATGTATAATTTGCATCTCCATGTGTACTGATATACTCATGTTATCAAATAGGAATTGATCTAGTTATTGTACTGTGCTAGCAGGAAGAGAAAGCTACATTCTTTTCACCAGCAGAGGACGAAAGTAGCAGGGGTGTTTTCAGTCTCATAAAGAAATTAAATGTACCCGATACTAAGAGAAAAGGAAGAACTACTTGTAAGTTTTATAAGTTCCATTTTCACCACATTGCAGTGAGCAAAATCTATGCAATGTATATAAATAAAGCTTCTAGGTCGTGAGAATACTAATGGTTTTTGCCATTAATCTATGCTGCAGCCATCTTTTCTATGCCAACCAGTGGACAGAACATACAAATATCATCAATGGTTGGTTATTTTTAGTCTGTTATGAAGCTATTTATTTATTAAACGCCCCTTTATGATACATGGTCACATACTCTATGTTTAAATACTTATCTGAACATACTTAGATAACAAAAGTGCGTTTTCATTATCTTCAATTATATATATACTATGTGCCAATTCTTAGTTTCTTTTTTTATATTTTAAATATTGCAGTCATCTTTTGTCGGTCGGGCTTCAGATCGTTTTATGCCCACTTCTCGGAAGCAAGGATCATGCAAAGTTCGATCATTTGTATTTGGGCGAGATGACAGCGACAGCAGAAGTTCATATTTGATGTCAGAGGATTCTTCTGATGCGGTAATAACTAGCTGAAAAAATATGCCGTAAACCTTTCTGTGGTTTTTGAAAAATTGTTGCCATTACTTCAGACTTCGGAGAAATTGTTTTGAAATACTTCTAGTGTAAAACGCGTGTGAAATCATTTTTATATTACTAAAAGTTTGACTAAATAATACAAGAGTATGTTTTCATGAACTTTTCTATAATTATCTTAAAGAAAAAAATGTTTTTCTAGAAAATAAATTTATTTATGTTAATTGTAAAATTTTGGTGAAATTAATGACATCTTTTATACATTAATTTCTTTTAGTTTAAAATTTTTTTATTTTGATATTTTAGGGAGATGTTTATTCAGAAACACTTGTTATTTTTATAGTTTACTTTTTTTTACAATATAAATAATTTCTGATGGATATTATGGTAATGTTTTTTATTAATGCGCATCAAATACTCTTCCAAATATTTTTGAGGTGTCTCAACGTTCTAATACTAATAATTAATCTTATGAAATTAATATTTTACAACATTTCTTTTGCATCTGTTTAGCAATTATTAGCATAACATCAGTAATTTTGGTTGGAGTTTGATACCGATTATATGATAAGAAGCACGTTTACTTGACATTGTTGTTCTGTCTTGGTCAATTTGCTAATCTGGAAGATGTGTTTCTTTCCCGATGAACTTAACAGATTCCTAGGGAAAGTCAACCACCGAAAGCGGCTTCGACCAAGTTCCAACGAAATACACAGAACCAAAATACTACCTCGAATTCTACATCTCAAGAGTCAAATGTATCGCTTTTGGATATATTAAGGAAGTCTTCCCATCATGAGCACAGTTTGCAGAATTCCAAAGTTCAACCAAAGGCATCAATATTTGATGCATTCAAGTTAGTGAAGAAGCCAACCAAGGCGTAGGCCAGAGTTTGATGAAAATATCGGTTATTTTCGTATGGTTAAACCTTTAATCTTTCATCGATTATCATCTAATTTATTTCGATCCCTGAAATAATTGAAAAAAGATAAATTCAGCGTATGTGAAGCAATGGTTAAGTAAAGTAACCTTGTTTATTTTTTTCGTTCTGTAAGATTCTGTTTTGCTTTTATATTTGTCACTCTTAAAAGAAAATTCCGTTTCAATTTAGTTGTTGATTTAGAAGTTTTAATTAGTATCAATTAATGTTTTTATTTTTATTTAATTTTAAATATTTGAACAAGATGATTAATAAGGGAGATAGCATTAGAAAGATGAAAACAAATTTAACTTGTAGGTTCCATGACTATTTTCCACTTTTTAATGTACCAAAAGCAATGTTCACAAGCAGCAAAAAGTAGTAATTGTCACAATATTGGAGACTTCCTTTTTGCATTGACACAAACCTTGTTATCAGTTCATAACATCTAATACTCTCGTAGTTGTGGTTTGTATGGTTGGATTACTATTATGCTAATACTGAAATTTGCAAGGAAGTCAACAACATTAACAGGAACAACACAGTATTAATCAAATTTATTTATAATTTAAGAATGGCAATATTGTTTTATTGTTTCACATGCTTTGAGTACAGTGCACCGTCGTTGCATACATGCAAATTCCCAAACCAACATCTGGCTGGAGGTTCGAGGTTGAAAATGAAACGAAATGGGTAAGGTTTAACTAAAGGATAAGATTAGATTAACAATTTAGTTTTTAAAATTATATTATCTATTAATTTTTTAAATCAATAAATCTTCTGAAAATTTTTATTTTAGATTTAAGTCTTCCTAATTACTAAACATATATTATTACCTTATCCCTTAAATCTTGGTTTAGCAATTAAAGCGAGAAACATAATTGTTTTTTTAAAAAATATTTTTAAATAGTAATTATCTTAAATGAAGTACCTTTTTATCCCATTTTTTGAACCACAGATATTTTTATAGAAAAATAATTTTTCAAAATGCTGAAATTTGTTTAACAGATTACATGTTTTCCCTCAAAAAGTTTGGTCTAACTCTTAACTATGACAATTACTTCTCCTAAAAAATCCATGAATAAAAAAGACTATTATTTTTACCTATTACAAAGATATAGTATTACAAAAAAAATACTTTTTTACTTAAAATTGAAATGCTGATTGAATGGCTTTAATAATGATTTTTAACATTGTTTTTGTTAGACATTAAACTTTCAATTAGTTAAAAATAATATAGTTTATTTCAATTAAATCTTTTAATGTAGTAGAGGTATTGATTAAGAGAAATGACAAGTTTTGGGATGAATTAAGGTAAGATAGAAATAAAGTGAAATAAGAAGTGTGAAATGGGGTATTTTTTCCATTTATAAAGAAAATGTGAAGTTAATCCGAAGTAGTTACTACTTACTAAAAACATTGTTTACCTTCCTTCGGATATCTGAATTGCCTACAGAGAAAAATATTGGCTACTCTCAAACATAAGGCGATCGTTTTCTCTTTTCTCCACTCACCGCTGCATCGGAACAGTCTCCTCCACTGATCCGTCATGGACAACTCTGGTTCGTTCTCACTTTCCTTTCTCTCGCTTACGTACAAACCTCTCTTCTTCCCTTTCACTCTCAATTCAGTTACTCCGTTTTGCCAATCCTTTTCATGTTTTCAGTTCGAATCTAACATCAAAACCTCGCTCGTTTCACCTGTTTCGAGTTCTCGTTTCCCACGCTTCAATTTTGGCGTAATCACACGGATTCAACGTTTCTGTGTGCTGTGCTTACAATTGCCGCGGCTTGTTTTTGCTTTCGTTATGGATTGTGTTTCTCATTTTGTGATAGCTTTAGAGACCTAACCGATCTATGCCGGTTGTTAAGTCGGTATCTGTGTAAAATGAGCTTTGAGAGGGCTTTTGTATGGACAATCTACATGATCCGCAAGCCTAATGAACTTTAACGGTGTTGCTATCTTTGAAATTACTTCGTTAAAAAGTAACTTGAACAATTTGTGTGATGTGAGTGAGGAGCTGTGTGTGAATTCTGTGAGAGGTTTCAAAGTTTTGTTTATGTGCAACCTTGATTTTTATTGTTTTTGTTTCCCCCTTTGTTTTTGGTTTACTTCTCTACTTATTTTTATATGGATTGACTGAGTGGAACTATGAAAAAAGAAATTCTTATGGCTTGTTTGAAACTTTGACGATCATCCCCTGACGCTAGCTATTGTATCTTTTGAATTAAAGGCTGCAATTTACTCACATCTGTACCCTTTGGAGACATTTCCAAACACGCATTTAATGAGTTTAATAATGAATCTTGTATCAATTAGCTAGTTGCTGTGCTTCAACTGTTTCAATGAGATAGTTATATAGAGTCTAAAAAAGAGGTACTTTTGAAAATTTGTATTATTTTGACCTTCGCTTTAGGAATCCAGTGGATTATGGGACTTTTGAAAACAAAGCACTGGGGAGTACATTGATCTTTAGTGGACCTGTGCCGTGGTGTTACAATTTAACTGGTTGAAGCATCTGGCAGGTAATTCTCAAGATGTGGTTGTGCCACCGGTTGAAGGTGTTGCAGGAGGTGGTACCGCTTATGGGTGGAATGATGGTGGCACACTTGGCTTGAATGTCAAAGGACCAGTTGACCCAACAGAAATTCCAACTAGGGATTTAGTTCATGTATGGTGCATGCCAAACACAGCAAATATTGGACCTCAAGATATGGCCAGACATTTGGAGCCTGTTAGTAGTGTTTTATTTTAATAATTCATCTATACACAATTACGTTTTCTGTTAGCATGTTCTTGTATTTGTCGTTTATGAATTCGAACTGCATGATAGCTATAATGTTATTATATTCAAGGGTGTTATCCACTTGTAAATCGACTCTTCCCTTCATAGTTGCGTAATTACATGCTTGACAGCACTTAATGGATGCCTAAAAGTGAATTGTATTATATGGTTAACTAATGCACAAGTTTGGCATGGCAATTTTAAATTGTATGAAGCTAGGGGGTAATAGATATAATATTGCTCACCAGACAAACGTATGAATTTCACTTTTAGAACCAAAAAGCTCTTACCTTAGATTTGTGGTTGGAGTTTGTTATTAAAAAGTTGTGGAATCATATTGATCTTAAGAAATTATAAATCCTGAAACATTTTCTATTTTTTCTTCTGATATTAGGATTTTTGCTTTATCTTGTAGATAAACCTGCTGGCAGCTAGAAATGAGAGGGAGAGTGTGCAAATAGCTATCCGACCAAAGGTTTCATGGGGTGGTGCTAGTGCTGCAGGGACTGTGCAGATTCAGTGCAATGACCTATGCTCCACATCTGGAGACAGGTTGGAGTTTTTCAAATTGTATGTAACAAATACATGATTTGCTTCCATTTTATGCTGACATCAGTTTTGGCAGACTGATTGTTGGCCAGTCACTACGGTTGCGGCGGGTGGTGCCCATTTTAGGTGTACCTGATGCTCTTGTTCCTGTTGAGCTTCCAGTCAGTCAAATAAACCTATTTCCTGGGTACTTGTCTGATTTATGATCTCTTCTTGAGTTCTAGTGCTGTGTGCAAAAGTTGCTGGATGGTTGACTGCTTTTTCAGTTTTCACTGTTTTTGGCATTCTTTTGCTTCTTTAGGGAGACTACTGCTCTTTGGATATCTATTGATGTTCCTAGTTCTCAACCTCCAGGACAATATGAAGGAGAAATTCTCATTACTGCCATAAAAGCAGATGCAGAGTGAGCTTTATTTTCTGTTACTTTTGATTGTGTTACACATAATTTTACAATTTCTGTTTATCAACTTTGTCAACTTTACCCACTGCACAGATCTCCTTTTCAAAGTTTTAGCAAGGTTGAGAAACATCAATTATATAGGGACCTAAAGGGATGTCTTGATGTTGTTGAGCCAATTGATGGAAAACCATTAGATGAAGTGGTGGGTTTTGTTTTTTAAATCACTCTTCCTCATTTTGATACTCTTGTTGACCTTGATGTTATTATGGGTTTTTATTTAAGCATACCTTGTTTAGGTTGAAAGGGTGAAATCTGCGACTGCATCTTTAAGAAGGATTCTTCTGTCTCCATCATTTTCTGAATTCATTTCAGATAATGGACCAGTAGACATAATGGATGAGGATGCGATTTCAAATCTCTCTCTACGGGTGAAGTTAAATCTGACTGTTTGGGAATTCGTACTTCCTGAAACTCCCTCGCTCCCTGCTGTATTTGGTGTATCCTCTAGCCATAAAAGGCCAAAGATTTAAATCCAGATGATTATATTTACTTTTTTGTAATGTTTGGGTCATGTACACACGTGAGTATTCTTATTTATAATGTTGAAATGATGCAGTAACAGAAAAAAATTAATTACTTATAATGAGGATTATCTACTAAGATATTTACCATTTAATATAATGAACTTATATCTCTTAACAGTTTGTAGAAAATATAATTGGCATTTACGTTGTCTCAATTGTGTCATTACATGCTAGAAACTTATGACTAAGTTATTTCTAACAAACTCCAAGACTGAAGCTTGATATCACCCATTTTGTTCAATCAGTGCCTCCTCCTATATATTATTTTCCATTCAATGATGTACTTTGGATCTATTTCTTTGTAAACTTAGGAATTAGGAAAGTTTATCTGTTGCAAACTTTCTTTTACCTTTACCACACCAGATATCGGATACTGTAATTGAGGATCGATTTGGTGTTCAACAAGGGACAGCTGAGTGGTATGAGGCATTGGATGAACATTTCAAATGGCTTCTTCAATATAGAATCAGCCCGTATTTTTGTAAATGGGCTGATGGTATGCGTGTTTTGACATATACATCTCCATGGCCAGGTACTTTTCTGTGGAAGTAAGTTTGACAGAATCAATTCCAAAAGGAGAATTAATATGGGATTGCTGAAATTTCCTCCCTTCTTGCCATTGTAGCGGATCATCCAAAGTCAGATGAATATTTTTCAGATCCACGGTTGGCTGCATATGCTGTACCGTATAAACAAGTAATCTCCGGGTATACAGTCAGTTGTTCCCGTTCACTTCTGTCAGGTATATTTGCAATGAAAACTGATGAGATTCAACCCACCTGTTGATGTGCCACAGTAATGATGCAGCAAAGGATTACTTGCAGAAACAAGTTGAGATATTGAGAACCAAAACTCACTGGAGAAAAGCTTACTTTTACTTGTGGGATGAGGTATACATGTGTTATACCGTTTTTGCTAAAATATAAAAAATTCTTCACTAGAATGACATCATAGTTTAGATCTACCTTTATTCTATCTATTGAATGGATAGCGCTCCTTAATAAAAATAGAAAACAGGCAAGTGACTTTTGCTGTAGTCATTGGTTAATTATTTTATTGCGTTTCTGTCTAATAAATCTTTTTAATAGCTTCATTATATTTTTACAGTCTGGTTACTGTAACTATCTACCAGGTCCAGCATGCTGTGACCCTGATCAGCTGTTGTTTTCATAATTTTTCCAGCCACTGAACTTGGAACAATATGATTCTGTTCGCAATATGGCTAGTGATATTCATGCGTATGCTCCAGATGCTCGTATTTTAACTACTTACTATTGTGGTATGTATTATATACCTTAAATTATCGTAATCTAATCTCTACAGTCATATGTGTATACTACCTGATAATTTGTCCCTTAGGGTGTGTTCTCGATTGTTTCTCATATTGGCAATGGCTTGGATTATTTGACAAATGCATTTCTCATAGTTACTGCAAATACTTCTACATAGCTGTATTTCTGACAGTAATTATATCGTAAATTGGTTAATTGGATAGTTGGAATTAGTATCATGCAGGTGCTCTCTACTGTTGTTGGATCTAAGAATAGTTTTGCCTGGGTAATGGCCTCCAGTTTCTTTTTGCTGAACATTTCCAATCTTCTACACATTGCTTACTCAAAAAACAAAACATATATTCTCATTTATGGCAAATTTAATCTTGTTAGATTTTAGGTAGAATGGTATAAATTATTTACAGGCACATTCTTGGGGTTTAATATTTTACCTGTTTCCAAATAATCTTGGCTGACAATTTCTGACTTTTTTCAGATAGTACTTGACAGTATCTGATAAAAGGGTTGTGACTTTGACCTTGGAAAAAATAACAGTTCTAAATGTGTTTATATGATTCCAGCCAGAAATTTTATTTTTTTGAATATTACTTTTGCCGCTTGTTTATGATGATTATTGAAAACACTTCATAATTAATTCATATATTGTTCAATAACTCTGTTAATCCCAACTTCATCTCGGCTTTCTCCAACTAGTTGGTTCATTTTTAATTATCTTATTTTTGTGATTCTTATTATGTGTAGGACCAAATGATGCGCCTCTTGCACCTACTCCATTTGAGGCTTTTGTTAAAGTTCCAAGTTTTTTGCGTCCTCATAATCAAATTTATTGTACAAGGTATTGTATACTCATCTATGCCTATCCTGAGTTTAGTACACTATTTATTTTGTAACTTTGAACTATTTACTATATGCTTAACTTTCCCTTTTTTTGACCATGGGTATGTCAAACGTAATTTTGAAAGTTATCCTTTTCCTTGTCATTTTGGAGTTACTCTTGGAACCGACTTATCTTTGGTATACTGTTTTTATGTGTTTATGATTTTTTGTGGGATTTCCTATGGTGATTTCATTTTTTGGTTTTTTTACCTATTTTAGGGCATAAGGAGATACTTTTGCAGGTCTTGTTCCCGTTTATACTGATCACAGATGTATTGATTTACACTAATTTTTTTTCTTTCTGATGCATAATCGTTCTCTCAGAGTGAATTGGCATTGAACATGATGTGAACAACATTCTAGGCCACATTCTACACTTGTTTTCCAAAATTGGTATTGATTGATATTTTGTACATTCTGTCCTCACTTTCTGAAATCGTTGATTCTGCAATTTCAAGTAGTGATCGGATTTCTTGAAATTCACTTATGTTGTGAGACTCTGGGTGTGGTGAAGCAATTTTGGAATTCAAATTAAACCAATTTTCAGGATCTTATATATGTAGTCAACTATGATGGACGGATACTACATGCTATATTGCATACGGTATATACCCAATACAGAATGTATTTATTCTAAAAATAACAAAATAAGTTATGTTTAAGAAGCCTGTATAAAAGCTCGTAGAAGATAATAAATGTATAACTGCAGTAGTGGAAATCAAAATTAAAAAACACAGTTTAGGACAATGGTGAAATATAAAATTAGAAATCATGTCATATATACTTTTCTTACTTAAGCATGCTAAGTAATTGAATATGTCTTTGCAGTGAATGGGTTCTGGGCAATCGGGAAGATCTGGTTAAGGATATTATTGCTGAATTACAACCAGAGAATGGTGAGGTAATATTATAATTTCATTGTTTTTCCAAAGTTGTTATTTGTTCTGTGCACTAAATTTCTGCCGATGTGGTTGATATTTACTATTCCTCATCAATGCTGGTCGTAGAACAAAATCTTGTAAACGTAAGCAAGCACTCTTGTTTGGTATATATTTTTCATGATAATGGCCTGAGTCTACCTTGTGTACCGTGAGGCTCAGCTCTATGTTCCTATCATGGTTTTTCCCGTTGTGTCTGCCATGATCTGGGTTTTGGAAACAGTACTAGCATCAACGTTTTAGGGTAGATTCTTTATAAACTTATGTCTGATAGACCCAAGGAGTGGGAAACAAGTGGCGTGGACCTTTGAGTATGGAGTGAGAGCGAGAATTAGGAGGCGCGAGTTAGTTATGTCCGTTAAGGGAACTTATGAGGAGTGTTATGTGTTGAGTATAAGAAGGGGAGTAGGTTAGTTGGCATGGAGAGGATGTTTTGCAGACAGTAGTTGGTTAAACAGGCTTAAGTCCTGCGGAGGCAGGGTCCCCTAAGGCTTCTTGTAGTCATTAATGCACATTCAATTCTTGTGAATAAGATACGAGTAACTATTCCCCTTTTTCTCTTTTGTTTTTTCTATTGCTGTGTGAGAAGGAGTTCTTGATTAGGTTATCCCTAAATCCCATTGGACGACCTAGAACGAACGGAGGTTGCATGGATAAGATGCTAAGTGGTCGGGCAACCTTGCCTGAGAGTTGCCGATGCTGTCGTAACCTGAGGCGAAGTACTGGATTAAAGCGTAGGGGGCGCGTCCTCCGGTGAAGTGAAGCAGTTATGGAACGAGACCGACCCACCAGACGGTTGTCCGGTGAAGTCTGCAGGACGGAATTGAAGCGGTGAGAGGTTAGCAGAGCGAGTATACTATCACGCGCCGGCGGAGTACGGTAATACGCAAGCTCTGTCCTGGGGCCACTAAGGTAGCACCGTGAGCATATGGGAGGACTTCACAGACACCCATGCTGTCGCATGATTTATCCGAGGGGAGACTTGTATAATGTCCAGTGGATGCCGGCCAGCTTCACCACGTTTTGACAGCTTTTAGGTGCCAATTGCCGTTGATTTCATTTGGAGAGGGCCCAAGAATTAAGTGGTTGAGACAGGCAAACAGCAGAGGCGAGCAAAGACCAGCGAAAGTTGAAGTGGGAGATTTGGGGTTTCTTGAAGATAAAGACCTCATAGCAATCTTCTCAATGCCAACCAGACTTCATTCCAAGTTGGCAGCCAGATATTTTGCCCTTTTCAAAAGTCCAGAGGTGGGGGAGGCAGCATACAAGCTGCAGCTTCCCGAGACAGCCAGGATACACCCCGTCTTCCATGTTTCCCAATTAAAGAAAGCTATAGGCACGCAAGGGGTGGAGAAGGAGCTGCCGCAGGAGCTACAAGGAGAAGGGCCATCGTTCTGGCCAGTGAACGTGTTGGGAAAGCGGCAGATACAACAAGGAGATGTGGAAGTGCCACAGTTGCTGATAGAGTGGCAAGTAGGAGGCTCAGACGGTGCAACTTGGGAAGATGAAGTTACGATCAGGGAACAATACCCTGACTTCAACCTTGGGGACAAGGTTGGACTTCAGGAGGCAGGTATTGATAGACCTAAGGATAAACAGGGGTGGATTGTATATGAGAGGAGAAATAGAGGGCGAGTTAGTTAGATCAGTTAAGGGAACTGAGGAGGTGTTATGTGTTAGCTATAAATAGGGTGGGTTAGTGGCAGAAGGATGTTTTTGGACAGTTAGTTGTGGTTAAACAGTTAAGGTCCATGTGGAGGGGGGTTAAGCCTTTGTATCTTGAGGCACATTCAATTCTTTTTGCTGAATGATAGATACGATACTATTCTTTTCTCTTTTGTTTTCTCTATTGCTTGTGTGAGAAGGAGTTCTTGATTAGGTTCCCAAATCCGGAACCTAACATTGTCCTTGACCTGCTTCAAGACTAATCCTTAAAATTTCAGTGTATTAATTGTTAGTACCATGGCTCAGGTGCCTTATTTAATGGAATCCTCGTGCTTTCTTTCTTATGTATTACGGATAGCCCCTATACTTCTCCCTCTCACGTGTACATATCCACCTGTGATCGTTACATCTGGTATTCTCCCAAGTTAATTATGAATTTGTGATGTATAAATAATCTTCAAAGGTGTCGGGTGCCTGTACTGACTGGAAAAACTTTAAAATAAATAAA